GCGAGCACATGTGTTCGCTGATTGTAACACTATGTCACGAATGACATTTATTCCATAACACTAAGCCTAGTTAGTAAAAGGCTAGAAGTAATGTAATAATTTGAGAGGAAAAAATTACAAATTAATCCAAGCAATACCCAATCTGTATGGCCAAAGTTTATAAGCTTGAAAAATAATGTAAACACAATGCAAAACACAAAATGAACTACGGGTGGCAAATGACGCCAACGTCGGAATCATTTATGACGCCATTGTTGACGTCATTGTATGTGACACTCTTCACTTTAAGGAATCGCCCGCTCCACAATCAGCATTATTTTTGCGAGCCTTTTTGCATTTAGTCATGTCTTTTGTAGCTCTATATCGAGACTCATTGGAGGTCAACTAAATTGTAAAGGCACATTGAATTAAGTAAGATTTTTTTGAAAATAGCACTAAGATTCGATTAAAATAGAACACAATTAATAAATTAAGTTAGTAAACAAGGATGTGATCATAATTCATTATTTGCGATTGGTCAAATGAAAAGGGACATTTTATTCCCTATCAAGATTTTCATTGTAGCTGAATATTCTCCAGTAAATAAAAAATTACAGATTTAAAGTAAATAATAACGTTTGAGTACATCATTTTATTTTTTCTTATTGGGCTATTTAGTAATACAACAACCATTTTAACAACAAATCAGCTAGAAAGTATGTATAGTAAGGTCTTTGGTCTTTTCATGGAACAGAAAACATTGGTCTAATGTTTATAAATATTCGAACCATTATAAAACTATGTAACTCAAAAAGTTACATTTTAACCTAGACATAAAAGGACGTGCCCTACACTTAAATTAGATTTCAATGAAATAGCCTATTCTTGTATTTATTTTAAATTTTGTACAGCATAACTATTAAATAATTCTAAAGACTAATTAATTAAAGGCACCAAATATGCTCCTGTACACTTCAGGGCTCTTATCATGCGATAAGAATGTTAAGGGAAAATAATCTGACACAAGGTATTTTATTGGATCTCTTATCTAATTATATTAAATTATTCGAACGAAGGTCCCTTTATTTCTTTAAGGAATATAAAGTTAAGTAGTTGTTGAAACGTTATGTAAAAGTTAGTTTTGAAATTACATAGATACAATAGGTGTTAAAACATCTACTTTTAATGTTGGAGGTTATAGCTTGGCAAATGAAATACTGAAAAGGCGAAGCTTTACCCGGAGAAACATTTAATTGGTTACAAATAAAACAAATGACAGCTTTGAATAAAATGCAGCAATGTTGCTTCTATTATTTCTCAATGAATTTTTCTTGAAACAGTTTGATAGATATTTTGAGGCCTATAGTGTTTATTTAATGGGTAAAGTTACAATCTGTAGACACATTTTTAATGATTTCATGCAAGTTAATCCACAATATGAAAAGTAATGTATTTGTGTAGTGTATTATACAATTATAAATCTGATTAGTATTAATTTAAGATACTGATTAGCAGTGTAGTTAAGTGTTTATTATTAGTGTTATGGATAATAAAGAAGGCATGTGATGTAAACGATTTACGCATTTAACACTCTTTTCACCAGATGTTAAAATTTTTTAAATGTTAACTGTAGCTCATGTGTTTTCGAAGGTGAATGAAATATAATCAAAAAATAATTTTTGAAGCGATTAGGCCTATGTAATTAATTGAACATGATTACTATAGTAATTCACAGGTTATAAGATTGCAAGTCGTTTATCAAAGAATTTCGTTTAATACAAAAAACATGCGTTAAAGAGTAACACAACACCGAAATCATCTGAGATAAAGTCGGTCTTCAGGTACTCCTTATGTAAAAAGATTTACAATCAATCGACGAAAAACAATAGAGATTGACGTTAAACCTTATAAAAGTGATTCCCATAAGCTACAAGTGTCTAATTCATATACAGATTGTAGAGGAAAACAATTTAAAATAATTGGAAACAATGAAATATTGTTAAGTTTCTTAAGCAAACAGGGCCACAAACAACATTGTAAGCATAAGTTCTTTTGGTCTGGTAAAAGAATATCACAAAAGTTATTGGTTATCAATTAGATTTTTTTACATTTGATTCTCAAAAGATCACAAGAATCTAGATGGGTGTTGATTATCACATGCCATAGGCCTACTTTAATTTTGGTATATTTATGTTAACAAGATGTAAAAAACTCTCAAATTGAAACTCCCGGCAAAAGATGTAGCTCAGACAATATTTACGTAGAATCCTAAAACGAGAAGGTAAAATGAATTTAATATGAGGTCCAAAGATTCTGACGAGTTGGAAGTTTATTTCTCACAGGGGTTGTGAATTCAAAGTTACAAGTTATTGACGTCGATCGCTCCACTTTTATACTGTTCATATATTGGTTTTGTTTTTGTTCTAGTTAAAATCCATCTAAAATCGTATGGACATGGAAATTATGTTCCAAAAATACAGTGGGTTAGGGGTTTTATTTTACTTTGGATTCTACTAGTCGATTTTATCGTAATAAACCTTCTTTGATGAGTATTTCATTTCCGATACGAATAAAGGTAGTTTATAATTATTTCCCGTAGTTTGAGAATATATTTTATTGTATTTATAATGTGATGATAAACGTAGAATTTACAAATGGGCATTTAATCTGTATAACATGTGCTTAAGGTTAGCAAAATAACAGGATATATATTGTTATCGTCCAAATGCATTCTATACATACTGAACACAAACATTCTTTATGGTCCGGACGACAAATCTATATGAAAGCAGTTTTACTGTGCTCCATTACTCAACATTTCAATGAGATAGTTTGTATCTCAAAGCTTTTTAAGAACCACAATATTGTGTGTTTGATATTGCATTAGATGTTGTGTCAAACAGTTGATGATAATTTAAATTGAGGGATAGGTTTTTTTTTTATAATCCTAACGGACATAAAAGATACATACAAAAACCACGTAGGGCTTAACGGTATTACAGTATAAAAAATCTGGTTTAAATATACGTTGTATGCTAATGTAACTGGTTTGAATTTTGTATTCAATCTGGGATGAATTTAGTTAGTAATAGTGGAAGTGTGGGTATACGCGTTGACTATTGATACAACTACACATTCCATGTTAAAGTTGTCTCTAGTTTTTCTTTTCAAAATAGTCGTAGTTGATGTGAGCCACCGACAGATTGTGCTGATATAAATTACTGATATATATGTAGATTATATGAATCTTTTTACCAAGTTTACCCACTAATCCCATTCCTTACGAAAACCGTTCGAATTATTTTGAAATGGATATTGTCCGACAACGAGTAAAAGTATAGGCATGCATGGTATTGAATTATTATAATAGGAGTGTTGAACTGAATTTTCTCGAAAACATAAAATCTAGATGAAATAGTTTTGAGTCACTCACTTTTTAATGCTTAAAATCACTAAGTAAGTCACATTTTAAGGAGATGTTTCAAATTGTGTACGAGATAGATCGTAGTTAAAATATTTAGTTTGAGCAATTGTTTCTTAACTATTTTACCAGCTATTTTATTTAGCAAAAATTGTTTTGTTGTAAAATATCGATACTAACATTTATGCTTTATAAAAACACAAGGACACGCTTCTTTAATTTAAAATAGTTTGTGATATCTGACCTGGAAACTAAAGTTTAGTTCTCGCTTAACACTAAAATCTCTTTTATATGTGATAGTATCGTGGCGTGGTGCCTTGGAGTTTATCTAAAGAGGGGATCTAAATAAAAAAAAACATTTCCAAGTGAGAACAATTTTTTTTATGGCTAGATTCCTTTACTAAAAGTCATAAGTAATACCCGGTTATTATATTAAGTACGTTATGTAACTTAAAAAAATCTAGAATAAACACATAAGAAACTTTAATTTTTTAGTAACCTTTTTGATAAACTTAAACAGGGTATTTATTTAAGCGTGCGATGCATGTCCTAGATGTTGGCATTGACATTAATTACCCTACTAAGATAATACGATAGTGTAGACATGATTTGGAGTTTACTTTATGTTGTTAATCCACTTTGTCAACTGAAGTTAACTTCTTTCTTTTTTTAGGATGTCAACAAAAAGCCATGCGATAAAAATTTTTTATATCAATAATATAATAAGGGGTTTCTCTGTTCCCTTATAAGATGTCCTACTTAACCAATTTATCCGGTTGAGCTCATTGTAAAGCTTATGAACCAGTGGAGTGACCCCCTAGCCTCTGTTTTATTCCTGGGGAATGCTTTCAACGATACCAAGGGTGCTGGTTAACATTTTTTTATAACAGTGTAAAATGTGAATCATTAGTTATTCAACAAATGGTTACTTTCATTTGGTTGTTGAACAAAAGTCTCTTTTTACACAAGAGACAAAAATGTTGCTGAAAAAGAATGTTAAATTGTCTACGATTGTATATAATGAAAAAATGATTGAGGTACGTCATTTGTATTCTTCATGGCACAGTAAACATAAAATGAGTATCAATAGAAATATTTAAACAATTGTAAATTAGCAATGAAGAGGACTAAACGTCTCAAATTAACATTCAGATCATTTAAATTCGCATATCACGATATTTTCTTGGATTTATATGTTTTCAGCTATAAGTTATCGTTTACAGATTTAGGAATTACAGGTCACCAAGACGAATTTCAAAACCTATTAAAATGTGCAATTCACACACTGGTTTTCTCCAACAATTTAATAAACTTACAGTACACATATCAATTAACACCTACTACTTTTCGCAAGCAAAACTTGAAGTGACACCGGTGATGCCATACAAGCACCAACCAACTTAAGTCGATAACATACGCGGCATAGGCAGTTGTATAATGCAATTAGTCGGGACGATGTTTTCACCACGGTAGTAGACACGGTCGATATCTTCACGCCGGCTAGTAGCGTAGTAGTGCGGTGGGTGGTGGGGGGAATCCAGGGGCCAGGGTGGGGGGTGGTGGGGGATGCTGCTTCTGGAGCGACACTTGGCCAACGACCACCACTAGGTACGGTCGGGATGGACAGCTAGCGGGAGACATGTCTGGAGCGTCACTCGTCTTACTCATTTGCTTCTTATGTCTTCTAAAAGGTAAGTGACGTCGCCCGACGAGTGAGAAGTGATGTGAAGTGACAGTGAGATCGATCTGTGCAATATGGAGTGTCGCGAGAGTGGTTACGACCCAAAATGGACGCGCAACGTGTGGTTGCAATGTGCAATACGGTTGGTGTTGGGATCGTAATGTGTGTGGATAAAAAAGTAAATTTCGCTGTGGTTGGTTTTGTAATCATTATGGGGGTTGTACAATTGTATGGTCTAATTTTCCTATGGTATTAGTGTGGGGGTGCTAAATATGGACGTATACAGTACTTGTACATACCGATAAATATATATTAATTTAAACCATGGTTAATTTAATTTTTACTTAGAACAAGGAACATAATTGAATTATTTACTAAACATTGAAACCAAACATCAACTACAACTCTAGTTATGGTTAAAAATTTACCATGAATAATATAGTTGTGTCAGAACAGAACCCTTTAAAATGTATGTACGCTATCGGATCATAAATAACCATTTTGTTAACTAAGGGTTAGTTTTGAATTAAGTTAACTCTATATTAATAATCAAAAATCAAAGATTACTAAAATTTTGTACAATTTATGTCATGATTTGTATCGAATTTAAAAAAGAGAGTTAAACCGTAGTAATTAGTAATTAGATTTTTTCCTTACAGCTCTAATTACTCCTGCCACTAATAATGTTTTGGATATCGTGCACTATTTGCAATACCATGTAGAATAAAAGCTTTAAAAGTAGGCAAATAACTCATTTTTATTTATTGGGCTTATGATTAAATATACCTGCCAATAAAGTTTAATATCAACGTAATAATATAGTTAGAATGAATAAACACCTCTAAAAAGGATCTTGAGAAAATCTGAAGGCAAATGAAATGAAACATATGGGTCCGAACCGCAAGAAACTCAAAGCTAACTGTTGAATATAATTTGATCATAGATGGATGATTACACTAATGAATGTAAATTGGCTTTCTAAATTTTGGGGAAATATATCGAAAAACATATATAAACCTTGTTATTCACAAAAGACTAAACATTTTGGCAATTTCTTAAACAATCCAAATTAATGCAAAACGTTTAATGTGTAAAAAGCGAGTGTGGCATCTAAGTTTTGTATATAAAAATTATAGCGTGGAAAAGGTAGGGTATAATTTATAACTAGATTATTATTCTTGTAACGATATAATAATTTTAAATTACCTCTGGTTATTGTTGTTCAAAGGTCCATTGTGGTTATTTTCCATCACGATGGTAAAAAAAACAACGTTTCGGGATCTGGAATCTGATACCGTCTTTCGGTGAAAAAAATTACCTAACGCATAACAACTAATAATACACAAAAAGTCCAACCTAAGTTGAAATACACCACAGAGAGTAGCATTCAAAAAATATGCACCTCTGGGTAGATGATTTGTCCGTTAAATAAAATTAAAAGTAATAAAAAACCTAAGCTAATACTATATTCATCGTTTAATATCCCACAAAAAATTTCATTTTGAGACTACTAGACAGAAAACAATAAAACAAGTAAAAGTAATCATTAATTTTGTAAACTGCATATTTTTCAGCACTTGTAAAAGATAAAAAATATCTTGATTAATAAAACGGAGTTTTAACGTAAACAAATTTTGCCATCACTAAAATTCAATTAATATTTTCATTGCAAATTTTCCCTAATATTATATACAATTTAAATTTTATGCAAACTAAGTCCAAGGGTACTCTGCAAATTTAACTATTCAGTGGTTACCAGCGGATACATTTGAAAAGACATTGTAAATCAAGTAAACCTCAATATTTGCTTCATATGGGTATGTTACATTATAAAGGAAAAATACACTTTGAACACATAAAAACACTATTTAGGGTAGGTATACAATGTTGAGGTGAAAGGTGCGCTTATTGTGAATCCACAATATACATAAAAGCGTAATGTTAAATAATTATTAAAAATTATCAAATCTCAATTTTTCTACAAACATTTATGAGTTCTAAGTTTCATTTTAGAAAAAAAACTTTTTATTAAAAAATTACATTAATGGTGAATTCAAATGCTTTTGGAATTATTATTAAATATTTAAAAGAATAAAAAGTTCATCTAAACAAAGATATGATGGTTTATAGCTAAAGATGAGAATATGTTAAATTTTACATGATCACCAATTAAACAAAATACTAGAAATTGAATTTGAATTGGATTTTGAATTTTGAATTGAATTGAATTGAAAACATTGTGTATTAAAACATAACATTGTGAATTGAAATTGGATTTCTTAAACAAATTAAATGTTGTAAATCAAATAATGTATATTATAAAACCCTAAACAATATCAGTTTTCAATTATCAATTATTTATTTATAGCCTACCTGTTATCGGTCGGAAAAATTAGCCACCAAAGTAGGCTAAATATTGAAAATAATTCTATAACATTCGTTGCAAACCCATTGTTTCATAATATCAATAACTTTTTTCAAAATATTCGAAAAAATCTTATTGTAATTTTACACCTTTGAATAACAGAAGCTGTCCTAGTTGCAGTTTATTTGTTCCTCAGGAGTATAAAGATCTTTTAAAGTTCTCAAAACGAAAATGTTTCCGGCACAGTGAAATAAAACACTGCAATAACGATTACCGTTCGGTGCGGGCGGGGCACTTGAAGCTGTAAAAATAAATGCGTTTTGGCTGCTGGTCCGTGCTGTGCAGACATTACATGTTCACAATGGACAATTGCTTAACGGACTGGGAAGATTAATACTCTAAAATATTGAAACCGTTATGGAAACATACAGCTTGTTAAAATATACAATGTCATAGGATCCTCAGCACGTTTCATTTGCATATAATATGTATCTTGTTGAAACATTTTGCATAAGGTGTAGGATTCTAAGTTAAAATTAATCGTCTCTATAAAATCCTGTAAAATATCGATAATCCGATGCGTGTGTAAAATAAAAGTTAACATTACGGAACCTTTATTTGTCATTTACAAAAATAGTAAAATAAAAATGTATTACGGTTTGAAAAAATTTAGATTAATTTTATAAAAGAAAATATAATCAATGTTCGGTCGAAATAATTCTTGTGTGGTAAATTTTGAATTGCCAATGAAAAAATGTTTTTTATTAAGAAACGTTTTAATAAATTCCAAGAAACATATATTGTAACGATGGAAAGTTATTTTGTATAGCAAACAATAAATACGACTAAGTTTAAAAAAAAAATGGTAAATTGTTTTAAACTAGGACTGTTGAATTAAACAGCGTGAGAAAAAATTAACTTAAATATTTGGAGGAAAAAGGATTTTTTACTTTTTGCATTTCATCTGGATGTTTTTTTTCTGCAAGATAAATATTAAAGGGAATGTTAAAATCAAGGCATAATATACAGTACAGTGTAACGTACAAATATTAATTAAATAAACTTTTAAATTTTCAAGACTTTTTTCGTACATCGGTTTTCAGATAGTGATTTAAATTTAAATAAAAAGTATCTTATCTAAATGCTTTAGACTCGATACAACAAAATCACGTACACAAAATTACAAATCTAGTGTTTTTAAAATAGAACAAACAGAGAAATAATCAGGTAACAAAGTAAAGTATAATCTGGTAAATACAATTATTGTAGAATATAAATCGTTTATAAAAGAGATACGAGTATACCTAAAATATAAAAGACTATTTTGCTCAAAAAATTGTATTTATCACTTAAAATTCAATTACATTATCGAATTTATTTGGTGGATATTTTTATAGATCAATAGTAATCGCATCTGGAACAAGAGAACAGCATTTACAGAGCAATATAGAACAAAACATTATTTCAGAGCCGAAAGAGACATTTAATTTAAACTGCTACCTACTTTCTTTTCAAGATAAATAAAGTTACAGATTTTCGAAAACTGAGCGAACCTTTTTGGTCCCTGTTTTCTAAAGTGATAAGTCCAATACTTACTTTATGAACCTAAAGGTATTTACAAACGTTCCATAATCCATATAAAGTATTAATAGAATTAAGTGACGATAATAGTGCATAGTTTTCACTCAATAATTACTTTCAACTGTGTTTTAATAAATTAAATATGCAATATTTCAATCATGTTTAATTCTTCCCATTTATATTAGCAAGAAAAAATATTTTGTTAAACTGTGACATTGTGGTTTGATGGTTGTGGTTTTAAGAATTCCGACACTCTCTATGGAATGTCCTTTAATAGATAAATAAATAAAATAAAATTTACTTTTGCCAGCAAGTGTTTCTCAGTACAAACCGTTTTAGAGGAACCGTGTCGTAACACTTCGGCCTAGTAACACTTCGGCCTAGTAACACTTCGGCCTAGTAACATTTCGGCCTAGTATTATTTTGGCCTGAAATCCTCAGATGTGTCCTGCGGTCCAACAATCTACCTGCTCACTAGTAACACTTCGTCCCAACAAAATATTTGACAGGTATTCACTAACTATTTGGGAGGATATTAAACAACTAACAACAAATAATACGACAAAGGGCATTAGATTTAATATTTACTCAAACTGCGTTAGGTTAGGTCAGGTTGGGTTAGGCTAGGTTAGGTTGGGTTAGGTCAGGTCAGGTTAGGTTAGGTTAGGTTAGGTCAGGTTACCAGTAGGCTGTAAAGTATATAGTCCATGGGCCGCTTACTACCTGAACTGCGTTCATCAACCCTTGTCAACTTTTCGTTGGGGACGAAGTTTTACTCCATTAGCTTATCTATATACAGCCCAAAGTAGCCATGAACTTTTGAGAAAACTACAAGTCACACACCCATAAATCATATACTTAAAATTTTCGCCATGACAAGAAACCTTGCGCAAAACTATCCATTATTTCATAATTGCCCTTTTAGGTCGTAATTCCTTTCTAAAGGGAACTTTCCATATACCTAATGTTAAAAAATACCTCAGCTGTACTCATTTGTTTGTATTACTGTATTCTGTTTTGTTTATTTCAGCTTAACTTTTTAACCAATCAATAATTGTATTAAT